CTTCCTGAGCTTACCTAGGAGGATGGGATGGGAGACAGTGTCAAAAGCCTTGCTGAAGTCCAGAAAGACAACAGCCACTGCTCTGCCCTCATCTACCCAGCCAGTCATTCCGTCATAGAAGGCTATCAGATTGCTCAAGCATGATTTCCCTTTGGTGAATCCATGCTGACTACTCCTGATCACCTTCTTGTCCTCCACATGCTTGGTGAGGACCTCCAGGAGGAGCTGTTCCATCACCTTTCCAGGGATGGAGGTGAGGCTGACAGGCCTGTAGTTTCCTGGCTCCTCCTTCTTGCCCTTTTTGAAGACTGGCGTGACATTGGCTTTCTTCCAGTCCTCAGGCACCTCTCCTGATTGCCATGACCTTTCAAAGATGATGGAGAGTGGCCTAGCGAGTGGCCATACTTATTGTGGAAAAAGCAAGAAATAAAAACACAAACTAGCAGGAAATGTACTTATTTTGTCTTTATACGCCTTAGTCCCTAATTTTCTTTTATTAAGAAACTGTCTCTCTTCACTAGTCTCCTCAGGGCAACCTTCACATCCTTGTTTCTTAAGCTGTAGATCAGGGGGTTCAGCACAGGGGTCAGCTCTGTATTACACAGAGACCACCTTGTCCCTCCCCAGGATGTAGGAAGAGCTGGGCTGTGAATAAATGAAGAGGGTGGAGCCATAGTAGAGGGTGACAGCTGTAAGGTGGGTGGCACAGGTGGAAAAGGCTTTGCGCTGTCCCTCTGTCAAGCAGATCTTCAGGGTGGCAGCCAAGATGGAGGCGTAGGAAGCAATGACGAACGTGGACGGGAGGATGACATTGGAGGCCAAGATGAAATACAGGACCACGTGGCAGCTCCCTGTCACTGCAGGAGAGCTTAACTAGTGGGTACAGGTGGCAAAAGAGGTCACTGATGACGCTGGCATCGAAGAAGCTGAGGGTGAACGTGTAGCTGGTAATGATTGTGGAACTGGCAAAACCACTGAGACAGGAGGCAGCCACCAGCCCAACGCACAGGTTCTTGGACATGGTGGTGGCGTGAAGCAGTGGGTCAGAGATGGCCATAATGGTCATAGGCCATAGCTACCAGCAGGTAGCACTCAGTATAGGCCAAGCCAGCAGAGAACTGAGCTGCACACCCAGCAAAGGAGATGCTCTTGTCCTCAGAGACACAGCTTGCCAGGATCCTGGGGGCATAGATGGAGGAATACTGGAGATCCAGAAAGGACGTTTTTCCAAATGAAAAAGTACCCTGGAGTATGGAGCCGTGAATGCTGTATATTAACACAACCAAGGTGATGTTTCCAGTAAGGCTAATAACGTAGACAGTTGTGAACACACAAATAAGAGAAGCTGTAGCTTTGGGTCAGTGGTGAGCTCCAGGAGGATGAAACTACTGATTGTACTGTGATTTCTTTCTCCCACATGCAGGGCAAATGGGCTGACCTGGAGACGGGGATCATAGTGGTTATTTGATACTTGCAGTGCAGGGTCTGGAGACACCAGCTGAGAGAAGGGCTTCCATTTTGTTCAGCATTCCTCTCCATAGCAAAAGTATGGGTCCATGCGTTAAGGAGCTAGATAGAAAACATGAACGTGGGCTGGAGGAGTAATAATAAGAACATAAGATGTTTAGTAATGCTCCAATCCTCTAATCACAAGTTATAGAGATACAGGAATTTTGGCTTAGGGTAGACTGTTCCTAACATCAGGTCTAACGCATGGGATGATCGTTTGGATACAAACGAGCATTACTAGTATATTTGTCTTCCTGGGGTTTCTGGACAAAATAATAAAATTGAAAGAAGTTTTATCTTAAGAAAGGATGTGCTGTTATAATTTCAGCTAGGACTCAGTAGGAAAGTTTGCTATTTCATGTCAAATAGAGGTTAAACACTTGCCTCACTTTGATAGCTACATTTGCTGCAAATACACCTATGCATAACCCGATACATAGGGTGTAGGTATGTATACACACAGACTGCTTCCATAAATTGTGTAGTATGCATTGTATACTCGATGGACTATACACAAATAGAACACAAGATAGGAGAATATGAGCGAGTATGTGTGCATCTCCCTCTTTGTGTGTATTTGCTGACTATGCATTTCCCACTTCTGTGAGTGTGAAAGCTGAATGCTGCATTAATTTGGAGTAGATAGAAAGAATTGGAGACACATGTTTAAGAGAAATACATGCCGATCTGCCATCTGGTACAAACCAACATAGTTCCATTAAAATGTCTTTGATGAGTAATACCAGCAAGAGTACTGTCTCATTAAGTTTTTTGTTTGTTTTGCCTGAGCAAATATATCCTTCATGCCATACACCTAACTATTTAATAACTATAAATGGGTCTATCTGGGAAGTCCTCTATTTTTAGGCACGTTCCCCAAAACGTCAGTCATTCAGTGTGTGTGTGTATGATTTTGGATACCTGAGTACAGGCACACTTGCATCTACAGAAGTTGGAATTCCTCTCACCTAACATTTACTAGTCTAAAATCTAATTAATTAGGCTCTTTCCACAATTAGTTAAAATGATAGCTTCTTACACGGGGTAATTCACCACACCTTAAAATAGGTGTCTAAACTGAGCTAGTCTGCCTGCACGGATACACAAGCAGGCAAAAAAAAGCTATATTCCAAATGCCCATGACAACATTATTTGTACATTATAGGTTTTCAGGCATATTTTTTTTTATTTGCCCCCCTTAAACTGCAATGTTGTTAAGGCAGAGGGCTATGTTCTTAGTTTTTCATTTGCACATAAAACAACCTGGCCGTTTTAATTTTGACAAACAGTCCGGGTTTGGTGGTTGGTTTCAAAGCTGTAGAGTTCAGAGAGAATTCCTTCAGTTTTACCCTTTGTCCAGCAGGTGAATTCCTGAGAAAACAATGGAATATCCTTTCCGAAATCATATCTGGCAATCTAGCTGGCTGTATGCCTTGTGTTCTCAAGTGACCTGCCATATCCCTCTGATATCTCATTTGTCTTAGCACTTAATGTTTCTCCACCTGTGGACTAGTGAGAGAGCCTGGAGAACCAGTTTAAAGCCTACAGAGTTACCTTAGATGTGGATGCTTTCCTTCAGATTTCTGGCAACAGCTGAGATGAATCCCAACTTTAGACTATAAGGTGAGCTGTGTCTTGCTGTTTCATTATAACTTTCCCCAAGCCCGATCCAGTTTTCTGAGCGCCTCCTTCAGGTGTCTCTGTATGTTGCAGGTGGTGTGGTAGGTTGGATGAATTTTTCATCTGGCCTGATATGGTGACTATGATGTTTCTACTCAGGTAACACAACGGTGGAGAAGAAGAAAGAAGAGGAGACAAGGGAAGAGGAAAACTAGTCCCCTTTAAGGCATGTCTTAGACATGTCTTCAGTGCAACCACATCTGGCTCGTACATTTTGGAGGGGATTCATCCCACCTCTCTCTGGATATGTCAAAGTTTTAAAGTGTAAGCTGTTTCCTAGACAGAACTAGGCATTTCTGGGCAGTACTGTATTCCATCAGTAGTGGAGGAACGTCACAGAAGAAGAGATGGACAACATTAGAGCCATTATTTTGGCCACGGTTGCTATTGCGTAGGATCCCAGAGCCAGTCGGACACAAACCTTTTGAGCTGTGGTGGCCCTGTGGAGCAGAGGTCTGCATATGGCCATATACCAGTCACAGACCATTGCAGCCAGTGGGTAACGCTCAGTGATTGTCCACACTCCACAGAAATGCATCTGAGCTGTGCACCTTGGCCTAGAAATGGTTTTCCTTTCTGCAAAGAAGCATTTGGGGAGCAACTGCTGGGGAATTGCCTGGGTCTAGCAGAGAGAGGTGGCAAAGGAAGAAGTACGTGGGGGTGTGGAGTCAAGCCTGATTAGCGCAATCATGCCGAGATTCCCCACCAAGGTGGTGACATAAACTGGAAGGAACAGCACAAAGAGAATGACTGGCAGCTTCTGGATATCTGTGATTCCCAAAAGAATAAACTCTTCAGCTGTTGTCCCATTTCTTCTGAACGTTCCTGTAATGGATGTGTGCCTCTGTGAGTAGGACAAAAGGCAAAGAACACAAATAAGTTACGACCACGGGGTGAAAGGATAATTCATAGTGACACTGGGGATATTTTGCATCTCACAGAGAGGAGGAGGGGGAAAAAAAAAATTAATGTTCTCATGTTAACAGAACCCAGAATCCCTGTCGGTATATGAGAGTTGAGCACTTAGCTCAAGTGTTTTTGAGAACTCTGCTGTTCTGATGCATGTAATATTTCTCTAATGATATTCCCAGGGAGGGTTTACTTTCTTTTCAGTGTTGAGGAACGACCAGAAACCTTCTGATCTCATTTTTAGAGCTCATGCTCAGCTTTATCGTTAAATCTGGGGTTGTGTTGAGAAACTCATCTTTGTTCACTCGTCTTGGGAAGGCTGAAAGGATGGTTTTGCTTATTTGCTCGGCCGTTATAATACGGTAGAGTAATTAAGTCACTCTAAGATGGGGAGGAGTAGGGGTTTTAAGGCATTGTTTATATAAGCTATGCAGGATGTGTATTTTGGAGCAAGATGAACAGCTTCCTAGAGTACCTGCTAATAGAGTCCTGAATGGCTAGATTGGGTGTACAAGTCTTCATCGGTAGGTGACAGCATTCAGCCAGCTAAATCACACGCTCAAACTCGGTGACAGGTATGTTAAATAAAAGCACTGTGGTAGCTATAGATGATATGGAAAAGAAAGAAAAACACTATAACCCACAATTAGCTTTTCACGTCTCATAAAATGTTAATGAAAGGAAAAAAAAATGCATGTCTTTTCTGATTCCTATCTTGTTTTGATATTTCTTTCTGGAGTTCTGTAGATATAAATAAAAGCCTGAGTTTGTGAGGAAGTGTTATTTGGTAAAATAGTTAAATGATTTAAGAATTGCTTAAGCTCCTGTTATTTATACTGTGTTCAGAACAACTGAAGAGTACGCTTTTATGGGTTACAGGGGGTCAGCTAACTGGTAGCGACTGGCAAAAGCCGGCGGCGTGTTGGCTGCTGACATGCATTCATAATTTTTGTACAATGAGAAATTCCACATGAATCAATGGGACTATTTGTGCTGACTGGTGCTATGGTGCGCATCACGTGCTAATGCCGCTGAATGATTCATTTCATGCCCCACCACTTTTATTGCTATTATTTTCAGCAATCCAGTGCTCATCAAGTCAACACTGAAATTTTATAAATGTTGGTGGTATGAGATTAGGTATAGCTTATGAGAATGTCTTGAATCAGCTCCACGGCTGCTTTTAACCCGTGCAGAGCAGCTGTTTTCAAGCTGGCAAAGATCTGCCCCAGCAGATAGTCTTCTGTTGCTGTGTGCTTGCTTGGATGTCGTTTCTAATTCTAAATCCAAACTTTCAGGAGCAAGAATTCAAAAAACACTCAGTGTGTTAGGGAAAGAAGTCACACAGACTCTCACTTTCTCTTTTTTCTTTTTTTTTTGGTAGATTTTGCTTTTAGCATTCTTCTATATTAAAATTCATTAAAGGGTTTTTGGCATTGTTGTACACTTGAGCACAGATTGCATATTTATGTATTCTTGAAGTGACTAAGATTTAATGGACAGAATGAGGATAGAGAATAAAAACAGGAATGCAGACACAAGCTGCCAGATGTCATAATATTTCAAGCTACAGATGTTTCTCCACCTTTGAAACTACCTTAGAAACCTATTAAAAATGTTGCTTTCATTCCCCTAGACACAGATTCTGTGGAAAAGTTGGACTCATGGTGGAATTTAGATAAGGATCAAGTAGGCCTTTAGTTCACTGCCAGACAGTGAAAGACACAGTGTGTACTGCAGTCAGAAGAGGAAATTGCAAGCGCTTCATGTTCTCAAGTCCCTCAAATCTTAGTAAGAAGAAACAAAATGGAAGAAAAAATTCAGCACAGAAGTTAGTAGAGGAACTGTGGAAGATGTTATCCTAACGTTTTGGCAGTAACTTGGGCTTTTCTTTTTGTGTTGCCTTTTTTTAATAGAGAAAGGTCTCCGTCGTAGCCATGGGGCCATAGACAGCGACAG